AAAAAGACAGATAATCTTCGATATAAATTAAATCACGAAAGGAAAAAAAAAAAAAAAAACTTTGGCCTTTCAATTGTCCTTGCGTAGAAATTTTCAGATTTCAATGAAACTCAACTTTTTTTTTTTTACTTTGCGCGTTACATCACCGTTGCAATTTTTATCGGTGTATATGGTCAACCAGTATCGCTTTTGCGATAAATTTCATCGTTTCTTGCTCTCATTTCGCGCGGGAACATGACCTGTGTAGCCATTAAAGTCGCCGGAACTAATAGCCGTTGCATACATTTCTTAAGGGGCTTCGTTTTAAAAAGCACAGTCGGTGTAAAGCAATTTATAACTTCCAAACGCGTGAATACATTCCCTGCCGGAGGAACTTACATTGGGAAATGAATATCCAAAAGGGGAAATACGAATTGAAAGTGCATTATAGTTAGAACGAGATCGTTCGTATGATTCGTATTTTATGATTGCTCAAAATACGAACAATTATTTAATTTCATCGTTTTAAATATTTCTTTAAAATATATTGTTTTGAAAAAAATGTCTGGAAAGGAATAGAAATATTTTTATGTAATTTGATTTAAAAAATTCTATTCAATTATAATTAGGTTTTTTTTTATTAAATATTATTATTTCTTTTTTATTAATTTTCATAGAATAACAAAATCAAACTTTTTTTTTTTTTTTTTTGATAATAACTTTATGTTAATAATAACTTAATCACTATAATTAAGTTACGTTGTGCACGATAGTATTTAAGCGATGATTTGTTTAAGATTTGAACTGATAACTGGCATTAATTAATAATAATAAATCAATAAAATCAAAGTTTATTTATATATTTATTCATTGAAATTTGAAATTTGTCCGATTTTTGTCAAATTTTTTCCTTGATAGTCGCATTGGTTTATATTCATGACCAACTCAACGCCTCGATACATGTATCAAATCGAATAAAAGAAGAAAAAAGACATTTTAAAGTATATATAACGATAAAACGACTTATTACGCGACACTTCGACGATAAGAGTATTCTATATGACACAATTGTTTTTAATGGAAATTTTTTATCTGAATTTCTGTCTTTTTCTTTCATAATCTCTTATTTTTAATTTTTATTATTCATTTTCCGTGATTGTTGATCAATGGTAATGTAACTATTAGAGATTTAATCTTTTAAGAATAATTAAGTCATGGAAAATTTTTTTATACTTTATGAATAAGACTTATTCGATGAAAAATTCATAGAAGAATATTGGAATTTTTTTTTTAAATAACTTTTAGAGTTTTATATATATCATTATTAGAAAAAATAAAAGTATAATTAGATTTTAAGAAGGAGGATTTCATTTTTGAATGTTCTATTTTTATGGTAACAATTTTCTGAATTGAAGTATTGTTCGATCTTCCAAAGTATTTATCGAAGATATTCAGCCAAATCGTTAAATATACATTCCAAAAATGCATGATTTTATAACATCGAATAAAATAGACGAATTATGCGATAATATGATTTCTTGAGATATTTCAAAAAGAAATATTTTCTCAAATGTTATATTTATAAAATAAATTTTTATATAATAATAAATATTTTACATAATATTTCTTATAAAAAGCAATATAATACGAAAAACTATTCCTCCTCACTAATTCCAAGGAAATCCTAAATTTTCTTTTAATGCTATAAGAAATAATCACACTTTTTCTCAGTTACAATTCTAATTTCAATCTCACAATTCTTTTATACTTTTGTAATTTCAATTTTAACATTTAACATTCATCTCGATGTTGAAAATAATATTATATTTAATTATTTAGCCATAAACTAATTTGTTCTCGATAAAATTAGTCTTAAATTTTATCGAGAACACGTCTATTTAAAAAATCAATTACGCTGCAAAAAAATATACTCGGTTTCTATGGATTATTGAATGGAAGAAAGAAAAATTTGACCAAAAAAATCCAATCCAAAAGATTACTTCAATTAATATCAATGATAAATTCGTTTTCCTTTGTTTCATCGTAGAAAACACCGGTTATTTACGATCGAGCTGGTACGTGTTACTCGATGTGTGATCGAAAGTGGCGGTCGCGATAAAACGAGCGAGGGAACGGCTTCCCACAGAGCGGTGCAGAACTTTTACGTAACACACCGGCTAGAC